TCTATCTATCTATCTATCTATCTATCTATCTATCTATCTATCTATCTATCTATCTTTCTATCTATCTATCTATGCGACTGGATGCCTTACACAAAGAGTCAACATAACATTTCATTAGGTCGTCTTTCACCAATGTGTTGTATGACCCTTCAGTAAGCAAACCTGTATAATATTATGACAGACTGTCTACAGTGTCCCCCAAATTAGGCTTAACCTCAAGGAGATTAAAAGTAGTTCTAAACTCCTTGCTTAACCTTCAGATAAGAGTGTCGCCGTGGTGAACTCAGGCGGCCGTCAAAATAATTATATTGAAGAAACCGATTTGATTGTTCATCCCATTGGGCAATTTTTATCGATTTTTTTTCTCTTTGTCTCATCATTTTCTGTCTTCATTTAAAATACATTTGGGAAAATTTCGTTGAAAAACGTTGACCAAAGGTATAAAGGATATAAATTTGCAGTTTTCAAAGACACACACGCTTTTGAAGTCACCTAACTTTGACATTCATTTTCTTGCTTATTGCCTCTTATACTCACCTCCTTATATCGGAAAAAATCTCGACTTCTATTCTTAAAAGATGTGTATTTTCTCTTCAAAAACAAGAGAAATGAACAAAATTTAAGATGACACCAATAACTCCATATACCAAAAAATTTACGAGCTCCTTATTCCATCGCGTCATGACACAATACTATTTGAAAAGATTACTCAGCTGTTACTGAGAACAAGACATGTATTTGGCAGGTCGTGAGAACTGTCGTGGGAACGTGAGTCTTACGGTTCCTCGAAATATTTCCAATATTACTCCCACTCGAATGACTGAAATTCCAATGAGCTGACTGCCTCCTGTTCGTTAATCTCAGCGGATTCATAATGTTTTACAGGATTTTTTAAATGCTTGGCGATACATATCACCATGATTAATAGAGCAGTACTGAAGATGCCAAACTTTCCATGTAAACAGGTTCTTGGTCTTTCAAACAATGACATCTAGGGTTGAACATCTTTGACGAAACATAACGTTATGGACAAGAAAATAAAAACTGTCTCGGGTTCCCACAGACGTACAAACATTGCAGGTCAACTTTGTATCAACCGGGGCGGTCTCTGAAACGACGCCAATTTTTTTCTGGCTCGGAGTCAGAAAGTGCTATCTGCCTTCCTTCCACGATACAGGGATAAAACAAAGATACTGTAGTAGATAGAACCTTCTACCGTAAGGGAAGGGGCATTGTCTCAAGCGATGTCACGTCAGTCGCGATCAATACGGCCTGCGTCTTCATACATGGAAGTGGAGTGTTACCTTGTTCGTACATACGACATCCAGTGTAAACTGCTGCTCCGATGCTGTAGGGGGACAAAGGAGCATCGCGGGGGAAACATTATGACAGATGATCTCTACGAGGATTCTCACATTAACTTCCCTCCCCCTTCCTTTTTTTTTACACACACACGCACGCACAGCTGAATTCACGAGCGTGTCTACAAACACACACACACACACACACACACACACACACACACAAACATACACACTAACAAACAAACAAAATAATATGCTCATATACTCTCTCTCTCTCTCTCTCTCTCTCTCTCTCTCTCT